TCCCCACCCGGGTCCTCCCTCCCTCACCCGGGTCCTCCCTCCCTCACCCGGATCCTCCCCCACCCGGATCCTCCCTTCCTCACCCGGATCCTCCCTTCCTCACCCGGGTCCTCCCCCACCCGGATCCTCCCTTCCTCACCCGGGTCCTCCCTCACCTGGATCCTCCCTCACCCGGGTCCTCCCTCCACTCGGATCCTCCCTTCCTCACCCGGATCCTCCCTTCCTCACCCGGGTCCTCCCCCACCCGGATCCTCCCTTCCTCACCCGGGTACTCCCTCACCTGGATCCTCCCCCACCCGGGTCCTCCCTCACCTGGATCCTCCCCCACCCGGGTCCTCCCTCCACTCGGATCCTCCCTTCCTCACCCGGATCCTCCCTTCCTCACCCGGGTCCTCCCCCACCCGGATCCTCCCTTCCTCACCCGGATCCTCCCTTCCTCACCCGGGTCCTCCCCCACCCGGATCCTCCCTTCCTCACCCGGGTCCTCCCTCACCTGGATCCTCCCCCACCCGGGTCCTCCCTCACCCGGATCCTCCCCCACCCGGGTCCTCCCTGCACCTGGAGCCCGCCCTGCGTCCTGATACTCCCGCACCAGGCGCTTCCCCCCTCCAGGCACAGCACACACTCACGTTTCCCTGCCCCCAGAAATCCGTGTGGGGTGGTCCCCAAGTCCAGCCCGGCCGGGTCGTGTGGATGCTCCTGGAGCTCTGACGCTGTGTCCTGTACAGAGCTGCCCCCGGCGCCCAGGTCCTCTTATTGTCCGCGCTGCTGCCCCCAGAGCCTCGCGGGAACAGGGAGCCGCCTGTGCGGGGCGCCCCCGTCCTCCGTCCCTCCCTCCCTCCCTCCCTGCCTCCCTCCCTCCCTCCCTCCCGTCCCCGTCCACGTCCCCTTCATCAGAGCCCCCCTGCTGCCCCCTCAGCGCTGTGGAGAGCTCCCTCCTGGGCCGTTGTGGTCCCGAATCGCGTGGCACCCGAGCCGCCTCCTTTCTGGTGTCCGAGGTGAGCAGCCCCGTCCACGCGGGCGAGTCCTGCACACGGAGGCTTCCAAAGCCACCGTCAGTTCCTGTGTTTCTGTAAAGGATCGTTTTCATGAGCCCATTCTCCAAATGCGTCACGGTGGCCTTCCTCGTGCAAGGCCGGCGTGTGCACAAGCCTCCCAGCTCCTCCCTCCTCCCCACACCCTCCGTCTCTTGGTCCTTTCCGTGTGAGGAAGAACAACCCCTCTCCTTGCTAGTGTCTGTGTTAAGTCTTTCTCTTCACACTTTGGGTTTCTCACGTAAGAGACGCCGTGTGGTACTGACGCTCGCGGGTCTGGTCGGCTTCACCTGATCCTGGTCTCCACCTGCACCCGATTCCTACAGGTGCCTCAGGTCGACCCTTCTTCTTGGCTGTGTAGTACTCCATGGCATGCCAAGCCCACATTTTCTTTATACATTTATCTGGGTGGATGTACAGGTGCTTCCTGGCTTTAGCTAGTGTGAGCTTTAGCTAGCGTGAGCTACGCTCCTCAGACGTGCGCATGTGAGGTCAGAACCAGCTCTTGCACTGACCTCCGTCTCCAGCCCATGTTAACATTCTCTTCTTCACCCTGGGTGAAGCTCGCCATCCTCCTGCCTCAGCCTCCCAGAGCCCTGGAATAAACTCACGGTCCTTTATAAGACAGACCCTCCTGAGGAGAACTGCGAGCAGCCTGGGTCCCTGCTGCAAGGCGCCCAGAATTGCTGGCCGCTCCCGGGGTCTCAGCGCGAGGCCCGTGGCCGCAGGCCCGTGGTCGCCTGTCTCCCAGCGGCCCCCGACCCTCAGCACCCTTGCCCGGGGCTGTGAGCGGCTGCCCAGGGCCCAGAAAGGGACCTGCGCTCTGTAAGCCTCCTGGCAACTTTACAAGCATCAAAACGATTCACAGGAACTGCGATGCCCGCCTCTGCTATCAGGTCAGGGAGGCTGAGGCAGGAGGATCACAGGCCGGACTCGAGAACAAACACAAGAGCTGCGGATGGAGCTCAGGGCAAGGCCCCGGGCCCGCTCGGTGCCCAGCTTCTCAAGTGTCGGCGTGGCCTGTGGTCTCACTTCCGGTTGGCATCAGAAAGACCTGCCTCCACATGGTGGGGTTCAGCCAGGAGGCCGAGCAGTCTGGGGGTCCTGAGTCCGCGTCTCTGTGCTGCAATCCTGGGTCCAAGCAATCGGTCCGGGCTCTGGGAAGCCAGGAGAAAAGCTTTACTCAAGGGCGAGGGAAGGACGGACTCCCGGCCCGGATGCAGCCCAGCGGGCGGCACAAGTGCCTGCCTGGCCGCAGGGAGGTGGTGAGTTCGAGCCCTGTTTGAATAAAAACATAACATTTTGCAGAAAACGGAGATGAAGCCTCTTTCTGGAGTAGGGTAGGGCGGTCTGCAAGCGCCAAAGTGAACCCCGTTATTCCACTGACCACAAGCAGGAATAAAGCCTTTCATCTTAGAGGTGCTGCGCCTGCCATCCCAGCATTCGGGAGGCTGAGGCAGGAGGATCGCTGGTTTCAAAATAAATAAAACGCGCTGCAGATGACGCTCAGTACAAAGGCCCGGGTTCAGTTCCTTGTACTGGGGAAAATGTCAGTCCACAGCCCTGCAGATGACGTTTTTCCCGTAGACCGGCTTCCCGGCAGCTCCCCGGGTAGAGGCTGGAGCCCTTGGCGCTGGCCGGTGGCCACCGGGGCGTGTGGCCTGAGGAGGCAGGAGCAGCTTGCGTTCAAGCCAAAGGGCGCCATCGTGAGGTCCTCTATCAAAGCAAACCTAACTGTCCAGCCTGGGTTTAAAGGAAGCTCGTCCTGCCTCAGCCTCCCGGAGCCCGGAGCATCCTTCCAGGACCGGACCGTCTCCGTCTCGCCTGTCTGTTCCCCACGAGGCCAGAGCCGTGTAACGTCCAGGGGCGCTGCGGGGTGCTGCCCACGCCTCTCCCCGGAATCTGCTGGGCCCATTGGTCAGATGCGCACTTTGTGGTCACCCTGCGAGACTTCCCAGGACGGCATGAAAGTCGCGGATCAATTTGCAAATGTTCACAGCAGAACCTGGTTAGAAGGAAACTCTGCCCGCCTGGTTTCCCTGGGATTCCCGCGTTGCATTTGCAGATTTCCATATCCATTTGCCATTCTGGCAATTTATGTAAAATCACTACCGGCAGGCTCATTCCTTTCCACCGCAGCTCGGGGTCCTCCATCCTCAGGGGCTTCACCAGCTGGGATCAGAAACCCGGTGATGGTCGCTGCCGAGCGCCATCCAGCAGAAAGGCAGCTGTAAACGCAAGACGCCGGGTCCCCGTCCACCTCGGCCCCGGAGCCAGCCCCGTGTGACTCCCGGTTCCTCCCCAAGGTCACAGTGACCGGGACAGGTCAGGGTTTCGGGTCCATTTGGGACATGGAGGTGGCCAGGATGGCACAGGTAAAGACCCTGAGCACAGAGCACCCCGAGCTGCTGGGAGAGCGGCTGGACCTGGGGGAGCCGGGCAGAGCTGGGGGATTTTGGGGGGTCCATGGCTTTTACTGCGACACACTCCTTCACATAAAACGTCACACGTGGCCTCCTGCTAGGTGACTTCCAGTGCAGAACGCAGTGTAGACGCCGTGGACAGAGGCCCAGATGGCACTGATTCGGGACCAGGGATCCCAGTGGAGCCTCCACACTCAACACGAGCGTCACACTTCTGAGGACATGTGTCCCGTCTGCAGGAGGAAGGTCCACGGATGCCAAGGGCCAGCGGATTCCCACTTGGCGCTGGGAGCCTAGACTACCCATGGAATCAGAGTGGATCCAAACCCAGAAACGCTGGTACCGACCCGGGCTCGGCTCTGATGACCCTCAGGACGAGCGCTCTGCAAACCTAGGGCCACCAGACATCAGAAGGAAGGATTCTGTTAGCATCAGAGGCAAGGCCAGGCCCCATGTGGGCCACACCTCCAAAACGAGCCCGTCCCTGATGGCTGCCATGTATGTGTCTGTGATGTGCTTGAAACAACCAGCCCCATGAGCAAAGCTGGGGGCGTGTCTGTGGGTGATTGACAGGGAGACCGGCCAACTGAGAGGAAGCCCCACCCCGGATGTGGGCGGTGCCGACCAATAGGCTCGCAGCCTGGATGACATAAGCAGGGGAAGAAGCAGGAAGTGCTTCCATGTCCTGGAGGCGCCTGGTTTGCAGCTCCTGCCTTGGATATTGGCGTGTAGCCTTCCAGGACAGACTTGTGACTTCCAACACGGGTTTGCACTGGTGACTACCGAGAGCTTCCAGGCCGCCGACCTTTAGCATCTCTGGCTCCTCCGCTGGTCCAGGCTTTGGGCCAACATTCTGGGTTCCCCCACCTGCTCCTGTGGGGGGCTCTGGGACTCTGCCCGCGATGCCATGAGCTTCCTCGTGACTCTGCACAGTTGCAATTTTTGTGCCAGTCTGTTCCTCCAGGAAACCCTGGCTCATCATCCCTGTGATCCCAATCCAAGGGCATCACCCTGGGTGTTAGGTCGTCTGAGTGTGGATTTTGGGGCACATGTGGGTTCAGGCCATAAGTACTGACGACGTGCATGGTACCCCTAAATCTCAGTCCGTTCGTCCTCTAGCCTCCATCTGAGATTCTACAGAGCCCACCCTGGGCTCAGCTGCATTCTCAGCCGTGCAGTACCCCGTGGACCTATATAACGTGGGTCTCCCTCTTGTAACCGTGCTCCACACCGTGTGCTTCCACAGCCCACGTCTCTCTGTCACCTCTGTAAACACCGTTTTGTTCTTCATCACCGTACACCTGGCATCTGCCATGCATGGATCAGAACAGGTGCGCCTTCAGTGTTTGTTGAACGACTACATGATTGTTGCACTCACTCCCTGGGGCCCACAGAAGAAGCAAGGTCCTGAAATTTACCACCCGGGAATGGGGGTCCCCGTGACTTCTCACGTAGCTGCGTTGAAAGCCAGAGCGAGCCGGGCACTGTCCGATTCCCTCGCACACCTGTGCTTCTTTAGCATGTTTGTTTGCCACCCACGGAGATGAGGTAAGCCCTTGAGCCATGAGCCACTCTGAACTGCGTTTGTTGGCCACAGAAGCCAGGCCTGCCGTGGCGCTGGGCGCGTGCCCCTCTGTCTGAGAGCTGGGCGCAGCTTGTCGCCCCTCAGGGCAGGGTTGCCGGGTCCTGCCCAGCAGTTGGCACCTCGGGGTGCACCCTGGCCTGGGCCCCCTGCAGTGGTGTCCCGCGTGCGTTGCCAAGTCTGCCGGGAGGCTGCAGAGCTCGCAAGCGCTTGCCCAGGACGGTGCGGGTGCCCACCGCCGCTGGGCCTCCCTGCTGGGAGCTGAGGGCAGAGCCCTCAAGCCAGCCAGCCAGCCAGCGCCCGGCTCGTTCCGTCACCTCCACCCATTGGCGCCTGTCGCCCTGCCCAGCCGGGGACAAGCGAGCGGCGGGAGGGTGGGGCCACCGAGCTGGAGCTGGCACAGAGGCCTCGGGCACGGGCACGGACGGGCCCGGCAGCGGGATGGAGGTGCGCTGGGGGCTGCCCTGCCTGGCGCTGCTGCTGTGTCTCCTGACGCTCGCCCCAGGTGAGCGGGTGCTGCTTTCAGGGAGAAGGGCTGGGGGGCCGCCTGGGACCCCGCACTCGGGAGGCTGAGGCAGGAGGATCGCAGGGCCTGAGCCAGCCGGGACTCCGCGGTGAGACCCGGCTCCGAACATCCACATAACTGGCTGATGGCACTTTGCTGGGCAGGATGAGCGGGATGCGGACCAGCGCTGCCTGCCGGGTGCTCGGGGGACAGCAGGGCCCAGTTCCGGGCCTGACACTGCAGCCTCAAGGGAGGAGCACCCCGAGAGGAGCTGGGGCTCGGTTCTGCTCTTTGGGGGCAGCGGGTCGGGGAAACGTGGCTTGTTTGAACTCTGCGGTTTAAGAATCAGGTGTGATTTAAGTGAGTTCGATTCCCAGTACAAAACAAACAAGGTGAGTTTTTAAAGTGTTAGTCATTGGTGTTGATAGTTAGGGACCAGGAGGAGAAGGAGGGCGTGTGTGCGTGTGTGTGCGCGTGTGTGTTGGTGTCCGTGTGGACCCGAGTGTGGAACCGGGATTTGGACCCACAGGGTTTAACTCCAATCCCAGCCTTTCTGCAGTTTTAAATAAGTTTCCCAGAGTCTTCCTAAGTCACACGCTGCCCAGGCCGGGCTCTGCCTTCGATCCTCCTGCCTCAGCCTCCTGGAGCTGGGCTGCCAGGCGGGCACCACCTCGCTCAGCTTAGAAATGAGCTTGGAAGTGTCTCTGTGCACAGGGTAGAGATGAACGTGGAAGCGGACTTCTGTTTTGTGGGACAGCTTATCACGGATCACGTTCAGGGGACGGGCAGCCGGTTCAGCGCTTGCTTCTCTGTAGGTCCATCAGAGGTTTGTGCAAATTAAAATCATCTGAAGTGCTCACGACTGGTTTGAAATGGCAGACTGTGCGGCTGAGACTCTGGGAGAGGGGCTTTTGTTTTGGTGAGGGGACCCGGGGAAGGGCTGAACATGTACTAGGTGAATGTTGGCGTGTGTTCCCCATGGAAGATGTGTTTTCGGTGGCTACCTTGGGACTCCAGAGATTTCGAGAGTCAGATGAATTTCCAGAGTGGCAGGAGCTGCAGGTCAGGGATGAAAAGGATTCCTCTGGAGGAGTTCCCGCTGGCTTTTCCGGTTTGTCCTGTCTGTGGAGAGGGCGATTATGCAGGTGGCGGAGGCTGTTTAGGTGGGAGGGCGAGGTGTGCAGATGGCTCTGGCATCTTTAGATCTCGGTGTGGAGGATGTGGACAGTCACTGATGTTTAACAACCAGGCTTCACTGGTCTGTGTTGAGTGGTTTACACTGGCAGTCACACGAGCAGAGGCTCGCAGAGTCCCATGAGTGCGCAGCTCCCGTGACGTGGTTTCAGCAGGTCCCCACTGAGGCTGCCACAGATCTCCACCCTCCGCCCGAGGGAGGACCAAATTCCTCCTCCTCCTCTTGTTTCTTCTCTTCTTTCTCTTCCCTCTCTTCCGACTCCAGCTTCTCCTTCTTCCTCTCCTTCAAGGCCGGAGCCTCGGGCAGTCAGGCAAGTGTGCTCTCACAGTTATGCAGTTTGTGTTGAACTGCAATAGCAGTAAAATGGCTTTCACCATTAGGACAGAATACCTCACAGCCACAGTTTACAGCAGGAGAGACTGGCTTAGGCTCAGGGGTGCAGAGGGTGCAGTCCATGGCCGGCTGCTCCAAGGCGGGAGCATCATGGTGGACGGTGTGGGGAGGAGAGACGCTCCATCATGGTGGCCGGGAAGCAGGGAGAGAAGGGAGGAGCCGGGGACCAGAACACAGCTTAAAGGGGGAGCTCAGTGTGCTCAGGGGTGCAGAGGGTGCAGTCCATGGCCAGCTGCTCCAAGGCGGGAGCATCATGGTGGACGGTGTGGGGAGGAGAGACGCTCCCATCATGGTGGCCGGGAAGCGGGGAGAGAAGGGAGGAGCCGGGGACCAGAGTACAGCTTAAAGAGGGAGCTCAGTGTGGCTCAGGGGTGCAGAGGGTGCAGTCCATGGCCGGCTGCTCCAAGGCGGGAGCATCATGGAGGACGGTGTGGGGAGGAGAGACGCTCCATCATGGTGGCCGGGAAGCAGGGAGAGAAGGGAGGAGCCGGGACCAGAACACAGCTTAAAGGGGGAGCTCAGTGTGGCTCAGGGGTGCAGAGGGTGCAGTCCATGGCCGGCTGCTCCAAGGCGGGAGCATCATGGAGGACGGTGTGGGGAGGAGAGACGCTCCCGTCACGGTGGTCGGGAAGCAGGGAGAGAAGGGAGGAGCCGGGGACCAGAACACAGCTTAAAGAGGGAGCTCAGTGTGGCTCAGGGGTGCAGAGGGTGCAGTCCATGGCCGGCTGCTCCAAGGCGGGAGCATCATGGTGGACGGTGTGGGGAGGAGAGACGCTCCCATCATGGTGGCCGGGAAGCAGGGAGAGAAGGGAGGAGCCGGGGACCAGAACACAGCTTAAAGAGGGAGCTCAGTGTGGCTCAGGGGTGCAGAGGGTGCAGTCCATGGCCGGCTGCTCCAAGGCGGGAGCATCATGGAGGACGGTGTGGGGAGGAGAGACGCTCCATCATGGTGGCCGGGAAGCAGGGAGAGAAGGGAGGAGCCGGGGACGAGAACACAGCTTAAAGAGGGAGCTCAGTGTGGCTCAGGGGTGCAGAGGGTGCAGTCCATGGCCGGCTGCTCCAAGGCGGGAGCATCATGGTGGACGGTGTGGGGAGGAGAGACGCTCCCGTCATGGTGGCCGGGAAGCAGGGAGAGAAGGGAGGAGCCGGGGACGAGAACACAGCTTAAAGAGGGAGCTCAGTGTGGCTCAGGGGTGCAGAGGGTGCAGTCCATGGCCGACTGCTCCAAGGCGGGAGCGTCATGGTGGATGGTGTGGGGAGGAGAGACGCTCCCATCATGGTGGCCGGGAAGCAGGGAGAGAAGGGAGGAGCCGGGGACCAGAACACAGCTTAAAGAGGGAGCTCAGTGTGGCTCAGGGGTGCAGAGGGTGCAGTCCATGGCCGGCCGCTCCAGGGCGGGAGCATCATGGTGGACGGTGTGGGGAGGAGAGACGCTCCAGTCATGGTGGCCGGGAAGCAGGGAGAGAAGGGAGGAGCCGGGGACCAGAACACAGCTTAAAGAGGGAGCTCAGTGTGGCTCAGGGGTGCAGAGGGTGCAGTCCATGGCCGGCTGCTCCAAGGCGGGAGCATCATGGTGGACGGTGTGGGGAGGAGAGACGCTCCCATCATGGTGGCCGGGAAGCAGGGAGAGAAGGGAGGAGCCGGGGACCAGAGCACAGCTTAAAGGGGGAGCTCAGTGTGGCTCACGGTGCAGAGGGTGCAGTCCATGGCCGGCTGCTCCAAGGCGGGAGCATCATGGTGGACGGTGTGGGGAGGAGAGACGCTCCCGTCATGGTGGCCGGGAAGCAGAGAGAGAAGGGAGGAGCCGGGGACCAGAGCACAGCTTAAAGAGGGAGCTCAGTGTGGCTCAGGGGTGCAGAGGGTGCAGTCCATGGCCGGCTGCTCCAAGGCGGGAGCATCATGGTAGATGGTGTGGGGATGCTCACATCACGGATGTATTAAATTGACATTAAAAGTAGTCATCTTTGGGAATTTTCATGTAAAATACAAAAGAAATCCTAAAAAGATCTAATAGCAACACAAACAGAGTTCAGTTCACGGTTTGAAGAGCATTTTGTCAAAAGAAGACAGAGGCCCGAGATGTAGGTGAAAGCCAGGCAATGTCATTTTTATTAAAATTATGAAACTGGGAAATTGTGAGGGAGCCCCAGCACAGGCGGCTGCTGTGACGGTGAGGGTTAGATAAACAAACAGGAGGGCAGGGGAAGCACTGAGTTCTCGGTTTGTCCTGCTGGCCTCTGAGCCGGCTGGAGCCTCGCCCAGCAGGTGACGGACCTCAGCTCGGGTGTCGGGTGCATCGTGGGGCTGTGTCCCCAGGGCTGGGCTGGTCTCCAGGGGCTTCCTGGGTGCCCGTCACGCCCTGTCTGCTTTCCGGCCTGCACGCTGAGCAGCCTCCTTCCCCTGCACCATCCACCCTGAGGTTTCAGTCGTGGGACCATGGACTGCACCCTGTGCAGCGTGCACCCCGCAGAAACCTGTCCTCTTCGAGGCGAGCGTGTGCAGCGTGTCATCCCCGTGATGGGGACGCTGAGGGATGCATCTCAGCCCCGTAGGGTCTGGGGTGCTGAGGAAGACGCCCCGAGGCTGGTGGCGTTCCCGCCTGGGCCTGGGATGCCAGGGTCACCCCCTCCCAGCAGCTCTCGGCGAGGCTCTGTGCTCCTTCTCAGCTCCTGACCACGCGCCCGGGACGTGGCCTTGGAGGGCGTGGGCCCGACGGCATGGTGCGCCCGGGCTCGGGGTGCAGTGCACACAGTGGCCTTGTCTCTTTAGCCCCGGTGGGTTTTATTTCTGGCAAACAGAAACCTTTGCACCATTAGAAGATGGCACGCTTGGGTCTTTCCTCTCCTGGGGAAGCCATCTTGTGTGCAGGGAGGGGTCAGGACAGGGGCTCCCCACTAGGACACCCCGGGGTCATTCCTCTTTCCTGTCCTGGATGTCATCAGTGACCAGCTGGGTCCCAGCCCTTGTCCTGTGTACCAGCCTGGAAAGATCCGTTACCCGGCTGTCCCGGGCCCCTTCCATTGGTCCCGCCCTCTCCAGAGACCAGGTCTCACTGTGCATCGCAGGCTGGCCTCGAACTCCCAGCGATCCTCCTGCCTCAGCCTCCCAAGCGCCGGGATCACGGGCCTGCATCGCCCGGTCCCTGCGTGTCCCTTGTAGACCATGGAAGCAGGTTGATCAGACAGTCGTGCAATTAACAGTCAGGAGGTTGAGGTCGGTTACCCTCTGGGCCGCTCTGTGGATTCCCGGCCCTGTGTCCTCGGTGAAGTTCCTTGAAGTCAGATAATTGGGACTGACACAGAACCCTGTCCCCAGCGGCAGCTGCCCGCCTGGTCCTGCTGGCTTGGATTAAACCGTCAATGTTGAGAAACAATGCTGGATCCTGTGTAAAGCAAAGGGAACCCCGCGGTGGAGGGGCAGGTGTTCCCCGGGCTTCAGGATCACAGAAGCTTCGGGCTGCTGTTTGCTCTGCGGTCCGCCCGGCCGGTGCTGGGCGCGCTAGACTGGAATTCAATGCCGCCGCAGCTCGCGGCTCTGCTCCGGGCCAGCGCTTCAGAAAGAGCCTGTGTGTGCCGTGTATGCTCTTCCTTTGAGTCGATGCTTTGCAGAGGCTGCCTGAGGCTGAGCCGTGTTTACCTGGAGCTGAATAACTGTCTTTCTCTGCAGTCTGCACAGGGCGCCTGGTGCGTGTGGGCTGATCTCTTTTTAGAAGCATCTACTGTGTATCCGTATCATTACTATGTTTTTGAACTTTTTTTTGAGACCTATGCAGCCAGGCCGGCCTTGAGCTCACCGTGCAGCCCAGGCTGGTCTCCAACTCATAGAGATCCTCCTGCCTCAGCCTCCCGAGAGCTGGGATGACAGCTGTGCACCACCACGCCCGGCTATTTTTATTATGATTATTATTAGTAGTAGTAGTCTTATGGTCAGAATAGCTCTGTGCTTGGCTTTGTGAGGTGCTCACTGCTCTGCGAGCTCCGAGGCCTGCAGACAGGCGAGGATTTCCAGGGGCTCCAACTGCAGCGGGGACATTGCTGGCTCGGGCAGGAGTGGGACAGGCCGGGAAGGATGCGGCCACAAGGGCGGGAGCAGCTGTCCCTGCAGGGCCCTGTCGTGGTGAAGTCCTCTGAGGCTGATGAAGCAGTTCCCGCCCCTCGCCTTGGGGGACCCCCAGGAGTCGAGGTTTGCCTTCTGTTGTCCTGAAGCAGGATCAGGGCTGGCTGAGCAGCCTCTGCAGAGCGCTTGCCAAGCTCGAGCCTCAGAGACGCAGATGCATCCCGGGCCCGGGATGAGCGTTCCTGCTCCCGAGGTCGCTCCCTGATGGCCTGGGGATCCGGGTGCACACACCCGGGCAGGTTCCGTCTCTCCCAGGATGACGGAGGCCTGCAGTCCGGCTGCTGGCCCTGCTGCCCTGCCGTGCACCGTCCGGCCCTGCGAGCTCCACAGGTCTGCGGCTGTGAGTCAGCACCCTGAGGACGCTCCGGCCCGGAGCATCTCACAGATGCACGCCAGCCTGGTGCAGGTCAGAAATGCGAGCCGAGCCGAGCCGAGCCGAGCCGAGCCGAGCCGAGCCGAGCCGAGCCGCGAGCCGAGCCGAGCCGAGCGCCGAGCCGAGCCGAGCCGAGCCGAGCCGAGCCGAGCCGCGAGCCGAGCCGCGAGCCGAGCCGAGCCGAGCCCCGAGCCGAGCCGAGCCCCGAGCCGAGCCGAGCCCCGAGCCGAGCCGAGCCGAGCCCCGAGCCGAGCCGAGCGCCGAGCCGAGCGGAGCCCCGAGCCGAGCCGAGCCCCGAGCCGAGCCGAGCCCCGAGCCGAGCCGAGCCGAGCCGAGCCGAGCCCCGAGCCGAGCCGAGCCCCGAGCCGAGCAGGCCAGCGAGGCCGACAGCACCGCGCCCTCCTCCTTCCGGCTCCTCCAGGGCCAGCCGGGGTCTGCCTGTGGTCCGGGAGGCCGAGGCAGGGAGGTTTCCAGGATAACGCCGGCTGGGTCTCAGGAGGAAGAGGAGCGAGGGCGGGGCTCCCCCAGCCCAGGGTGCAGCACTGAGCCCCTAAAAAGCAAAGCGCTGGGCCCAGAGCCGCCCAGTCCCAGGCCCGGGAGGCCCGCACCGTCCGCCTGTCCGTCCCGTCTGTCCTCGGGGATCCCGCACCCTGAGAGGTGCCCACCCTTCTCACCACGTCCGGCTGCTCCCCAGCCCCCCGGGCACCCGCACTTCAGGGCGGCCGGAGAGCGCAGGTGGCAGAGGCCCCTGGTGTGCGGGTCGGTGGCCCCGAGTGGCTCCCTGCCACGTGGGCAGCAGGCTTCTGCGAGGCCCGCCTGATGCGGTGGGCAGCAGTCAGGGTGGGGCTGCGTGACAGTTTGCAGAGTGCACGCAAAGCGCGGCTGGAATTCATATCGCAAGGTTGGTGCACGGCGGGGCCGTGAAAAGGTGTGCGTGGGTAGGAGGCACGGAAGGTGTGCGCTGGAGCAGCCACGCAGGAGCGGGCGGCCGGAGGAATCCCGGGGGCTGACGTCACTTCCGGTCTGGAGGAACTCAAGGAGTGACAACACTTCCTGCTGGAGGATGTCAAGAAGTGATGTCACTTCCGGTCTGGAGGAATTCAGGAGGTGATGCTACTTCCTGCCTTGGGGGATTTAATAAGTAATGTCGTTTCCTGTCTGCAGGGATTCAGTAAGTGATGTCCCTTCCTTCTGGGGAAAATGATTAAGTCCTGTCACTTCCTGTCTATGGGGGATTCAAAAAGTGATGTTACTTCTGGTCTGGGGGAGGGGGTACTCAATAAATGACGTCACTTCCTGTTTGGAGGACTTCAAGAAGTGACATCACTTCCTGTCTAGAGGACTTTAGGACGGGATGGTACTTCCTGCCTCAGGGAAGTCAATAAGTGATGTCACTTCCTGTCTTGGAGGGACTGAATAAGTGATGTCACTTTCTGTTATGAGGCTTCACTAAGTGTTGCATTTCTGGTCTGGGACGATTTAGTAGGTGATATCATTTTGTGTCCTGAGGATTGAAGAAGTGATTCCATTTCCTGTCTGGGTGGATTGAAGAAGTGATGTTACTTCCGGTCTGGGGGGTGGGGGGAATTCAATACCTGATGTTACTTCCTGTCGGGAGGGCGTCAGTGATGTCGCTTCCGGCCTTGGAGGGGTTCTGTAGTGAGTGACGTCACTTCCTGTGTCCCAGTGCATTCTGAACCGGACAGTGGGCCAGCGAGCTGGGTGGGGAGACAGGCGCTGGGTGTTGTCCTCACGAAAAGCTTCTGGGTCTGTCTCTGTCCTGTCCCGAAGCTGCAGAGCCTCAGTCTGTGCACCTGGGGAATGGGTGCATCAGAAATGCCAGCGACACGGGTGGGTGGGAGGGAGGGATGATGGGGGACCCCAAGACATGGGTGGGGAGGCCGGTCCGGGACAGGCTGAGTAGCTGTCCCTGTGCATGTGGGGGGCCGGGCCCTGGGCCTCCGCTCAGCAGCACTGTCGGGGCATCCCGGGCCTCGGCGAGGCTGAGTCAGGAGGATCTCAGGTCTGAGCGCAGTCTGGGCCTCGTGAGACCTTGTCTCGAAGCAGAAAGTAGAAGAGGCCGGTGCAGTCTGCTCAGAGTGCTCACAGGCCGGCGCAGCCTGCAGGCTCCTCCCAGCGTCCGGCCGCTCGCTGTCCACCTGTGTGCTCGGGGCCCGTGGCCACGCACCCGTGGCTGCCGTGGCTCCTCGGCGTGTACACGCTCACCCTGGTGCCCGCCGGGCCCGGTGCGACCCTAACATCGTGCAGACGGTGTGTGAGCAGCAAGTGATCCGGGTGCAGGGCGCCCCAGCAGCCAGCAGCCAGCAGCCTGGGGGCTTCGCGTCAGCCAGCAGAGCGCCCCGAGTCCCTGTGGCCCCGAGCACGCTTGGTCCCGCCCTGGTCTCCACGGTCACCTCACTGTCCTCCTCTGTCCCCACAGGGCAACGCGACTTCGACCTGGCGGACGCGCTGGACGAGCCGGGTGAGTGGCCGCAGGGCGGGCCGGGGTCCCCAGCTGCACTCGTGGGGGGTGCAGTGCGGTGTGGGAAGGCGCTGAGGACCCCGGTCACCCCACAGCCGCGTGGTCACCAAGCTGCTTGGGACTGACTGACCGGAAAGCCGAGATCTGCTTTCTTCCTGGGACTGCGGGGGAAGCAGATGTGGGTCGGGAAGGAAAGAGAGAGGAGGGCCCGTGTCGGGGGACCCCACCGTCCACCCTGCTGGTCTCTCCCTTTGCAGCCCCAAACTTGTATGCTCCCTCCTTGTCCCTCTTTTGGGAATTTCACTTTTTCACTCAGTGTTCGTCTTTCTGAACCTGGCTTTCTTTGTCCGACATGGTGCAGTCCGGATGCATCCCGGCTGTTGCAAATGAGGATTTTTCATTCTTTATGGCTGTATAATACTCCGCACGTCAGTGGGCCCGTTCTCTTAATCCAGTCGTCTTGTGGTTGTGACGCAGGGTCGCTCTGCCGTTCTCCATGCTTGGAGCTGCTTTGCATCGCTGGTATTGACTGGCTTTCTTCTTTTTCTTTATTTGCAGAACCCACCAAGAAGCCGAGCTCGGGTGAGTGGCTCTGGGTTGGCTACCTGCTGCCTTTGCAGGCTGGGTAAGGAAGCATCTGGGGTTCAGGGGTGCGTACGCAGCTGCCAGACACGGGCCAGTCGGTCGGTGTCACTCGTGGTTGCTGGTGTTTGAGGCATGGGAATTAACCAGCACTGTGAACAAATCAGAGTCCGTCCACCTTGCTGGTGGAAATCAAGATGGCGCCATGGGAAAAGGCTTGCTGGACCATCAGAGAATGAAGGCAGATGGGCGTACGGGTGCCCGGTTCCAGTACACAAAAGGATTAGAAATGGGCATTCAGAGAAAACCCAGCATCAGCGCTCACAGCGGGTAAACGCGCATGGACCCTCCGGGGTGGAATAGCATGCAGCCCTGAAAAGGAGGGAGTTGGTCTCTGCTCCCTGTGGGCGAGTCTCAGGCCCTGCCTGCAGGAGACCTGGTTCAGGGGCCCCGCAGAGCACGGTCACTCCGTGGATACGATGCCCAGAGCGGCCAAAGCCACCCACGTGGAAAGTGGGTTCCAGGGCTGGAGTTAGGGATGGGGCGTGAGTTCCGTGGGCCCGGGGTGGGCGTGGGGCCTCTGCGCGGATGTGGTGGGAACGTTCTGGAAGGAGAGAGCCGTGGTGGCCGCACAACCTGCTCAGTGGCCTAAAGGAGCTCAAAGTATTTGCTCTAAATCGAGTTCGTGTTCACATGGTAGTGAGTTTCCCTTCAGCATTTGCTGACCAAGGTGACCTCAAGGCGTGACCCAGCACCCCGCATAGCCCCAAGGGGCTCCCCCCGAGGCCCCTGCGTCTCGGAAACGGCCCATTTGTCATCGACTGATGGGTGGAGAAGGGAAACTCGGTGTCACACTTTTGTGGAGTACTATGCTGCCACGAAGAAGGGGACTGCAGTCCTGCGTGGGGCAGCGGCTGCCCCTGGAGACCGGGGTGCGGAGGGAGACAAATCGGACCGCGAGCTCCTGCGCGGCCGCCGCCACGGGACCAGCCCTGGGCCATTGGGAGCTCTCAGAGGGTGAAGGACGGTGCCGGGGGACGGCATTTTAGAGCGGACCACGTGCCCGACGTGGGGCCTGTCCTAAGCTCCGCCCTCCTGCCTAGAAGGAGGGTGATACGAAAACTTACACTATGAAGAGAAAATAAGTATCAAGTAAGTATTAGTAATTCAGGGAAGAATAAACATTGAGAGAACCTTGTTCAGAGTAATATTTAGAATTAAGAAAACAACAAACAATAAGTGTTAGGAAAATCATAAATATGAAGGATTACAATATTAACAAAAGTGTCGAGGATAAACTTTCTTGTATCTGTTGTCTGTCTGTATCGCATGGCTGTCTGTCTGTCTGCCTCTCTCTATTACACTGACTGAGTTTTTGGTCCCGGGAATGGACTCGGGACCCTGCACCTGCCAGGCAGGTGTCTGCGCCCCCACAATGTTTTTAAGGCCTGGCACCCTGATCAAACCAAGGACGCCCCGAGTCCCCGTCCGCCTCTTCACCCTCGCGCTCGGCGTTAGTCGCTCCCTGAAGCTTCCTCTCCTCTCCCCTCTTCTACTCCGTTGTGTTAGTTGATGTCTTTTAGACCCCACCTAGGAGAGACCCTGAGTGACTAAGTGTGCACCTTTTGTTCTGCGTAAAGGTGACCAGATCCACACACTGGGCGGGTTTTTATGGGACATCCGCCTGTCGTTTTTCAGTCTATATTTGCGACCCAGACCGACGCTCTGTGTCTGATTTATCTCCCTCAACCACATGGTCTCCTGTGTGAAGCCATTTTGCGAATGCAGGACTCAAGTGGATCTTTCTTCGGGGCTGCGTAGTACTCCTCGGGTGCACACAGCACGTTTTTCTTATGTGTTCCCAGGCTGCTCCGGGATGCAGCCTCTGTGAGCGTGACACTGTCACACGGGTGTGCGCGGTCCCGGTAACAGGATGTCTTTAGCCCTTGCAGGAGGACGCCGGCCAGGGGGCCGCACGGTTTCTGTTCCCACCTGGGAACGGCCACGCGGGGCGCGCAGAGGTCTCACGGGGCCGCCGCAGAGCTCGGCGGTTTCAGGGGGACGGAGGCCCCCAGCGGGCGCCCGGATGAGCTCAGGACTGCCGCGGGCAGGGGGAGCCCGCGCCTGGGTTAACGCGCTGCCCCTCGCCCCGCAGACATCCTCCCCAGGCCCAGGCTGCCCCAGCCACCCCAGCCTGCCAACTTCGGCAACGGGAACGGACACGGGAACGGACACGGTAACGGGAACGGTCGGTGGGAGGGTGCGTGTCGCCCTGAGCTCGCTCTGTCCCGGGTGCGCCCTGAACTTGGGGAGAGCGTCCTGCCTCCCTTCCTGGGGCCCACGGCGGGGTCCCCCAGGCGGGTCCACGCTGGCCCCTGAGACCCCCCGTCCTTTCCCGGCAGACCTCTACCCACCGCTGAACCCCAGGCCGCACCCGGAGCCCGGAGCCAGCGACGAGCACACAGGTGGGTCCCAGGCCGAGCTGCGGGGAGCCGGCCCGAACTCCTCTTTTAACACCTCAGGATCCGGGGCCCGAGGCCGGTGCCCGGGTTGCTCCTCATACACACAGGGCTGAGACCCCAGGGCTCCCGGGTCCCCCGACACACCGAGCGGTCAGCCGGGGGGACGTCAGAGGGCTGTGGGCTCCGCGGGGTGCTGGGCTCACCTGGTGTTCAGTCCGATGACCGAATCCCAATCAGCTCCCAGCTGAATGCCAGAGTGGGTCGGCAGGTGGGGCGCAGTGGGGTTCGCCTGTCACCCCGGCATCTGGGAGGCTGAGGCAGGAGGATCACAAGTTCAACCCCAGCCGGGTGGATTTAGGAGCTTACGGAGACCCTGGTCAAAACAGCAATTTTCAAAATATATGAAAGGGCTGGGTGGAGCTCCGTGCAAAGGCCCTGGGGTCGATGCCCAGGACCACACACATGCACACACATGTGCACACATGTACACACACAGAATGGGCCAGTGTTCAGGGATCCGTTAGCTGTTCCTGACCATGGGGTGTAGATCGAGTGCAGAAGGAGCTTTTTCTGTTCTATTTGGAAATGGGGGAGCTGAACTAGAGAGGGACGGAGAGCAGGAAGGCGGCATGGAGGATGTGGGCTGGGGGGTCAGCCGAGGCCAACGCTGAGGTCAGGGGTGTCCGCAGGGTGGACGCCTGGCTTACAGCAGGACAGGGAGGTGTGGGAGCAGGGCGGGTCACGGGTCGGGCAGGGGGCGTGTGCAAAGGCCCTGGGGCAGCGGCCCATGGTGTGTGTGGGTCGGGAGGGGACAGAGGAGCCGGGCGCGCCGTATGACCTGCCGTGCTGTCCACCCGCCTGCAGGACACTCGGACAGCGGCAAAGACCCCAAGCCCAAGCCGCCTACAGGTAGGGAGAGGAGGAGACGGAGGAGGAGGCTGAGGCGGGAGGGTCTCTCGTTCCTGTTCAACCTGGCAACGTGCAGGCCCGAGAGCCCGGGTGCTGCCCAGGGGCCGCCCACAAATCCAACCCCCGTCTCTCAGCAGGGGGAGCGGGAGGACCAGGAGGAGCAGGAGGAGCGGGAGGAGCAGGAGGAGCAGGCGGCAGTGACAGCAGCGGCGGCCAGGACACCAGCGGTGGGTCACGTGCGGTCCGGGGCTGGGGGCGCTGGGGTCTACGTTAGGGGGACGGCACATGTCGGGGTGCAGGGCGGAGTGTGCAGCCCTGGGCAGGGACGCCGGCGGCTCCCGATCTCCAGGCTGCTCTGCAGAAGTCGGGGTGGCGGGGCCCAGAGCGCTCAGCTGTCCCCCAGGTCCTGGTCGGGAGGCTGAGGCGGGAAGGTCTCCGTCTCTAAAACGTTGTTTTTTAATAGTCAGTCTACAGGCCCGGCACGGTGCGTGGTTACCTGTGCGGCCGGGGCAGCGGTGGGGCTCGGGGGGGGGGGCGCGGGCTGTGGGTGACGCCGGCCTCTGCTGCCCCCCGAGCTCAGGCTGCCCCCCGGCCTGTCCCCCCGCAGGCAGCACCATCGCCAAGATCGTGTCCCCCATCGTGTCGGTGCTGGTGGTGTCGCTGCTGGGCGCCGGCGTGAGCTACTTCAAGTCCGGCGGGCGGGGCGGCTGCCTGCGGACCAGCGGTGAGCACCCTGCAGCCCCTCGCTCGAGGTCCCGGGAGCCCCCCAAAGCCCCCCAAAGCCCGTGCTGTGCTCAGCGCAGGGAGGGCTGTCAGCCAGGGTCACGATCATCATCATCGCCATGTTGGGGACGGCGCCTCGGGGTCCAGTCCAGCCCCCCACTGCACCCCGCGGGGAGACCGTCCTGCCTCGGCCTCCCGAGCACTGACTTGGGTGCTGAGAGGCGCTCGGGGCGCTGAGCTGAACCGCGGCGACTCTGTGTGTTTACAGGGGGACCCGGGAGCAGGGCCCCCCAGGACGGCGTGGGGTCCCCACCTGTGTGACACGGCCCCCCCTTCCCCTGCAGAGGTGGAGAACGTGTGAAGGATCCCGGGCCGCCATGCGGGCCAGAGACCGCAGCCAGGACCAGACGAAGCCGGGGCGGGGGCTGGGGTGCGCGGGGTCAGCACAGGGGGGCCCCCTCCCTGTCCTCTCCTCCCCTCCCCCCTCCTTGCTCCTCGGGTTCTGGGCACCCCCAGAGCCTCCACACGGAGCTAAGTTCTAGCCGTTGCAAACTTTAATTTAATTTAATTTTTTAATCCATTTCAAGAGTACGTCTTGCCGAGTGGTGCTGAGCCCCAGGCTGGGCTCAGCGCCCCCTGGACCTGAGGGCAGCGGTGTGCACCCCACCTCCCACCCCGGGCATGACCCACTGGGCCTCACAACCCAGCTGGGGACCCGGGAGGCAGGCCGAGTTTCCCAAGCCCTGGCCTGGGCCTCGTCCTCCGGCCCTGCCCAGGGCTGGCACGCCTGGCTGTGCCCCTCGTGGTCCCCAGCGGGCCCCGGCTCCTGTGCCGGGAACCCAGGCTGACGGGACGCGGGCATTGCCAGCACCGACGCCACTGTGCTGGGGCCTCAGGGCCTTTGCACGGCCTTCCCTCCAGGTTCTGTATTCCTGAGCGGCGCACAGAGTTTCCGGGCTGAGCTCTTCGGAGCTGAGTGTTGCTCCCCGATGCTCGGTTCTCTCCCGCCCCTGACGAAACGCAGGTTCATTCCTTTTTGGCCGCTGGGGTGCCAGTGCTGCCCGCTCCACGGCCGAGGGCGGGAGACAGCGCAGGCATTAATCAGGACACAGAGCACAGAGGGGCGGGGCTGAGTCCTGCATGGCCACGCCCAGCAAGACGTCACTTCCGCTGTAGGCCACGCCCCTCGTGGGTCTCGTTGCCGGGCAACGGCTCCTAGACTGAGTACCAAGTCCTCAACACTGAGCGCGGGTGCTGCTCACGGTGCCTCTGCGGCTTGCGGACACTCAGTGCGGACTCGTCAGGGGCGACGTGCGGCACGAGGGACCCCGAGCTGCACCCCGTTTCCCTAAAAGCGGGCATTATTAAAACGCTGGCTTCCGCCCTGCTGTCCACAATCTGGCTTCATTTGGAAACGCCGTCCTCGCGGGTGTCGTCAGCTGAGTCAGGACGGGGTTTGGGGGGCCCCCGGGGACCCCGAGGGGACATGCTGCTGGGGGCCGGGGACCCCCCGAGGGGACACGCTGCTGGGGGTCGGGGGGACCCCCGAGGGGACACGCTGCTGGGGGTCGGGGGACCCCCCGAGGGGACACGCTGCTGGGGGGCCGGGGGACCCCCGAGGGACACGCTGCTGGGGGGCCGGGGGACCCCCCGAGGGGACACGCTGCTGGGGGGCCGGGGGACCCCCGAGGGACACGCTGCTGGGGGGCCGGGGGACCCCCCGAGGGGACACGCTGCTGGGGGGCCGGGGGACCCCCGAGGGACACGCTGCTGGGGGGCCGGGGGACCCCCGAGGGACACGCTGCTGGGGGGCCGGGGGACCCCCGAGGGACACGCTGCTGGGGGCCGGGGGACCCCCGAGGGACACGCTGCTGGGGGCCGGGGGACCCCCGAGGGACACGCTGCTGGGGGGCCGGGGGACCCCCGAGGGGACTCGCTGCTGGGGGTCGGGGGGACCCCCGAGGGGACACGCTGCTGGGGGTCGGGGGGACCCCCGAGGGGACACGCTGCTGGGGACCGGGGGACCCCCGAGGGGACACGCTGCTGGGGGGCCGGGGGACCCCCGAGGGGACACGCTGCTGGGGGCCGGGGGACCCCCGAGGGGACACGCTGCTGGGGGCCGGGGGACCCCCGAGGGGACACGCTGCTGGGGGTCGGGGGGACCCCCGAGGGGACACGCTGCTGGGGGTCGGGGGGACCCCCGAGGGGACACGCTGCTGGGGGTCGGGGGGACCCCCGAGGGGACACGCTGCTGGGGGTCGGGGGGACCCCCGAGGGGACACGCTGCTGGGGGTCGGGGGGACCCCCGAGGGGACTCGCTGCTGGGGGTCGGGGGGACCCCCCGAGGGGACTCGCTGCTGGGGGGCCGGGGGACCCCCGAGGGACACGCTGCTGGGGGGCCGGGGGACCCCCGAGGGACACGCTGCTGGGGGGCCGGGGGACCCCCGAGGGACACGCTGCTGGGGGTCGGGGGGACCCCCGAGGGGACACGCTGCTGGGGGCCGGGGGACCCCCGAGGGACACGCTGCTGGGGGGCCGGGGGACCCCCGAGGGACACGCTGCTGGGGGGCCGGGGGACCCCCGAGGGACACGCTGCTGGGGGCCGGGGGACCCCCGAGGGACACGCTGCTGGGGGCCGGGGGACCCCCGAGGGACACGCTGCTGGGGGGCCGGGGGACCCCCGAGGGACACGCTGCTGGGGGGCCGGGGGACCCCCGAGGGACACGCTGCTGGGGGCCGGGGGACCCCCGAGGGACACGCTGCTGGGGGTCGGGGGGACCCCCGAGGGGACACGCTGCTGGGGGTCGGGGGACCCCCCGAGGGGACACGCTGCTGGGGGTCGGGGGGACCCCCGAGGGGACACGCTGCTGGGGGTCGGGGGACCCCCGAGGGACACGCTGCTGGGGGTCGGGGGACCCCCGAGGGGACTCGCTGCTGGCCCGAGGCAGAGGCAGGGCTGAGCGCGCCCCTTTGTGCCCACACTGCGGGAGGCTGAGTCAGGAGGGAGGCAATTCCGGGCTCTGACCTGATTGTGTCCCTGTTCTGAAGGTCCAGGGGTCCCCCAGTGTCAGGGCGGCGGCTCCGGGGTGCCCCCACGGCCTGGCCACGCGCTGTGTGTCTGGCCCGTCGTGGCCGTGGCCCCCGTGGCCCTCCGTGTCCTCCACCTCAGTCCTGCGTCTCTGCCCGAGCCGTTGGCTCTCTGAGCCCCGACACTTTGTCCCCCGAGGAACCCTCAGGCAGGGTCCCCCTGGCATGGGCGGGCACGGGGGCCTGGTGGCCGGGTGGCCCCGAAGCTGTGCGTCCCCTCACCCTCTCCACGGTCCCTCGGGGTCCCCGGAGACGCACGGAGCACCTCCAGGCCGCAGGCTCTGCAGGGCGCCCGCCTGCCCTGTGCTCACGCCCGGGCCCTGGACCGATTCTCAGTGCCCGAAGCCGTGGGGCGCTTTGGGCAGGCGCCCAGTGTGACCATCTGAGTTTGTCGGAGGCTTTGGGGTGCAAAGCGTGCGGCTTGGGGGGCCCGTGCTGCTCACCACGGCCGGGTGGCGCACACATTACCCTCTTGGGGGTACAACGGTCTGATTTTCAGGACTTCAGCTGTTTTTGTTTTTGGTCCCGGGACTCGCACTCGGGACCTGGGTCCCCCCAGGCAGGCGCTGCGGTGCTGAGCTAAGTCCCTGGCCTGCGTGTTCTGAGTTGACCGGGTCTCCCGTGCAGTCCAGCCGGCCTGGAGCTCACTCTGCAGCCCTGGCGGGTCTCGCACCCGCAGCGACCCTCCCGCCTCAGCCTCCCGCCCGCTCCCGGTGCCGCCCGTGTGGCCGGAGCCCGAGCCTCGCCTGCGGCGCCCGCCCTGCATTTCGGGGAGCTCGCGGGGGGCAGCCGGGCAGCGCACGCGGCCCCCCATTCCTGCAGGGTGGCCTGAGGTCGCTCCCGCGCCCCCCGCCTGGCGTCCCGGTTCAGGAGGAGCGTCAGCTGCGGGACAGACACCCAGAGCCTGCGTGCTCACAGGCCTTTAGAGACTCGGGGCCACCCCAGGACGCCCCACAACGGGGTCCCGCTGCTCCCCGATCGCTGCCGGCTGCAGGTCGAGCGCTGAGGGACCCCGACGGCCCGTTCATGGCACCAGAGCGCCCGCGGCTGCCGGCTCTGCCCACCTCGGCATGGCCGGGGTGTCGTCCCCCCAACACCTGCCGCTGTGAGGGCGCCCCGCTCGGCTCTGGGGTCGCAGGAGTCACGGCGCAAATGTGGGACGGACGGACAGAGAGACAGACGGTCATCGGCCATCGACACATGAAGCAATACGGGAATATATCAGTAAATCATCAGTAATGGAGGGAGAAGACAGGAGACAGACAGACAGACAGACACGATGACAGGCAGGCAGACAGACAGACAGACAGGTACACAGACTGATAGACAGACCGACAGGCCAGTAATGGAGGAGACAAGACACGAGATACAGACAGACACACTGATAGACAGACTGACACACTGACAGAGAGACAGACAGACTGACAGGCAGACAGACAGACCAACAGATCAACAGTCAGACAGACCAACAGACAGAAAGACAGACCGACAGACTGACTGACAGACTGACAAGCAGACAGACAGACCAACAGGCAGACAGACCAACAGACAAACTGACAGACAGACCAACAGACAGACCGACAGACAGACCAATAGACAGACAGACCGACCCTCAGACACACAGACAGACAGACCAACAGGCCAACAAGCAGACCGACCGGCAGACAGACACACAGACTGACCAACAGACAGATGGACAGATTGACAGATGGACAGACCAACAGACAGACAAATGGACAGACAGACCACAGACAGATTGACAGATTGACAGACCAACAGACCATCAAATGGACAGACAGACACACAGACAGACACACCGACAGACTGACAGACAGACAGACAGGACGCTGATAGCCCGTCCCCGCCGAGGGTCCTGCGTGTGTCCGTGTGTCTGGGCGCCCGTCGCGTGGTCCGTCCAGGAAGCCGCTTTCCGTCAGCAGGCAGAAGCTGGCGTCACGCACAGACGGGCTTTGCCGGGGCGTCTCGGAGGACGCGGCACCCCGAAGGACACGCAGGCGTCCCCCGAGCTCCCCAAAGCGATTCTGTGCCTCCCTGGGCGCAGGGAGTGTGGGGTGCCCGCCTGAGCGCCCCGTCTTGACCCAGAGGACACGGAACGCGTGGCGGCCCCTGAAGTCCCTCTGCGCTGGGGGACGTGCCCGCCGTGGTCGTGGCCAGCGTGGCTCCCGCCTGTGGCTCCTCCGGCCCCCCTGTGCACCCCGAGTTCCCTTGGGGTGCGCAGGCCGTGAGGACCAGGGACCCAGCTAGACCCCGGGGGCACCCCGAAACCGGGCGGCCACGTGGGGAGACCAGGACCCAAGCAGGAGGCTGCCAGACGTCAGGACCCACAAAGGTGCCTGATTGTGCCCAGGGGTGCCCGGGGCGGGGACGGGGGGCTTTGGGGAGGACGGAGGGGGGTCCTGGGGGCCGGCTCAGGGCTGGGGAGCTGCAGGGCCGGGCGTGTTGGGGGCCCGACTGTATGTGACCCGGTGTGAGAGGCGCGGGTAGGTTTGGGGTGTCTGGGGTGGACCTTAAGAGTTTTTGGGGTTCCCAGGGGCAGCCTGGGGTGCCTGGTGGTGTAGGGGACACAGTCTTGGGGAGGGGAGGACCGTGTGGGGGAGGGGCTGGCCTTTGTGTTTGGGGTCACAGACCTGATCTTGGGGAGGGGGCCTGGGGCGCGTCTCAAAGAGTCTGGGGCGACCTGGCTGCTGTCAGAAGTTGGGGTCCTCAGGATGTGACGGTGCTGTGTACCCCACGCATGCACCCCTCGGGAGGCTGAGGCAGGACGATCTCCCCCCGTGGGGTGAGGGCCAGCCTGAACCACGACAGACCTTATCTAAAAAAAAATGGGGGTGACCCTGGCATTTTGGGGGCGGGTTGTGTCTCACGGGGAATGTGGGGAGCATGCATTTGAGAGGTGGGGAGCGGGGTGCATCTCGGGGTTTGCAGCTTTGGTTGGGGGGTGTTAAGGGGAGAGGACGGAGGGGTCCCCACCGCTGTCCGCCACGGAGGGGGCGGCTGAGGTTTGGGGGCTGCAGAGGCCCGGGGGGGGACCTCGGCGCCTCGGTCCTGGGCGGGTGGACCTGGAGGGCGGCCCCGGGGTGCTCCTCCCTCCTCTGTCCCCCCACCCTGGCAGCCGATCCGCGTAATCTGGGTTAATCTGAGCAGTGGCACCGCCCTGCACCCGCCTAGCGCCCAGCCTCGCCCCAGGAGCCGGGGTGCCCGGGGAGCCCCAAGTCTGCACAGCGCCAGGGGCCTTGGGGCTAACTCGGTGCCCGCAGATAAGTGGGGTGCGGGGCCAGCCGCTGGCCCCCCTGAGCTGGAGACCCGACCCGACCCAGCTGCGGGGTGCACAGAAGCCTCCCGCAGGTAGCCCGGTCCTTTGCCCGGATCCCTCTGACTCTACCCAGGGTTGTTGAGTGCCCCAGTGACCGCTCCCCAGAGTGTTTTATTTAGCAGCCTGAGCTGCACCCCGACCTCTGTCCACCTTGGCCCTTTGGGTAGCGGTGACCCCGGCTCCCCGCGTGCGCACTCAGGGCCAGCTCGAGAGGGCCGCAGTCTGCAGGGCGTGGGGCTGGCACCCGAGCGCCTGCCGAGCTCACTGGGCGTCGTCCTCGGGGCGGCACCAGCAGAGCGGGAAGCGGCCGCAGCAGGGCTGCAGCCAGGGCCGCCAGGTGTTGAGGTAGGTGCCCAGCTGCTGGAAGGCCAGCCTCACGCCCTGCCGGTGCCCGTCCACCTCCTGCCGCACCCTGGCCAGCACCGCGTGGAACTCGGGTTCCGTGTTGGGCGTGAGCGCGTGGCGCTCGCCGGGGTCCCTGGTGAGCTCGAAGAGCAGCGGCGGGTCGTGCTCGGTGACGTTCTCCCCGAAGCACGGGCACACCCCTCGCCCGTAGCAGGCTCCCGCGCCCTCCGGCTGGAAGACAGGCGTCGCGTAGTGGACTTTCCACACCTTTCCTGCTGGTGGTGAACGGCATTGCAGAGTCGGCATCAAACGGCGCGGGGGCAGCGTTCATCACAGGGCCCCCCAAAACACGGGGACAGCACAAGCCAGCACCCCGGGGCAAAGGGATGAACACAGTGTGGGCTGGCTGTGTGGTGGAATATTACACAGCCGTGAAAAGGAGGGCCCTGATACCCGCTCTCCTGTGGAGGGAAGTGGAGGACGGGGTGCTCAGTGCGACAGGGGGTCTCCGAGTGTGAGCGGCCAGGGACAGGAAATGACCAGAGGAGGCCGATGGACAGAGACAGGAAGTGTCCTGCTGGTTCCCGGGGGCCAAGGATGGGAAGCAGGAGTGTGCAGTCATGGTGGTGGGGTGGCCTCTGAGAGTCATGAGAATGTTCTGGAATGTTCTGGAATGTTCTGGAATGTTCTGGACTTGGGACAGGGCAGCAGGGAGGAGGTCATGTGTGGGTCAAGTCCCCTAGGAGGGTTCCCAGCTGGAGCAAAGGCCCTGGGGCAGGTTGAGTCTCCCAGGCCGGCTGTACCTGGGGATGCTCCTGCCTCAGCCTCCCCGGCGTGGGCTGACAGGGCGCGGAGGGGGAGGGGGCAGCTCCCTACTCACCATCGCGCTGGTGCCAGCGGGCCGCGTGCACCATGTGCTCGCAGTAGTGGAACAGGAACTCGTGCGGGGAGTGCCGGGCCGTGCCCAGGAGCAGGGGCCAGAGGTCGCGCCCGTCGATCTCTCTGGGGAGACGGGGGAGGGAGGGGCGAGCATGAGGGACCTCGGGAAACGGAAGCTGCACATCCTGGCCTCCGAGCCGGTGGCTCACCTTCTTCCTGGCTGAGTAGTACTCCACGGGCACAAACACCTATCTCTGTCTCTCTGTCTCCGTCTCTGTCTCTGTCCCCATGTACTGTGTGTGATAAGTGTCTCCGTGTGTGGCACGACTTGTGCCCCGTGTGCACACGTGCTCCTGCCCGTGTGTGTTTCTGTCCCCGCGGGCTCCTTGGCACTGTGGGCCGCCCACATATTTATATCCACGGGGGGGGGGGTTTATTTTATTTATTTTAGGGATTTTTCTTCTTTTTTTTTTTGTCTTTCTGAGTCAGAGTGTCGCAGTCCAGGCTGCCTTGAGCTCACTCTGCAGCCCAGGCTGGCCTCGAACTCACAGAGATCCTCCTGCTTCAGCCTCCCGAGTGCCGGGGTGACGGGCGTGCACCCCCACGCCCGGCTCTAGTCCCCACACTACGGGTGACCGCAGGGCCCCCCACCTGCTCCTGGCCGCGTGTCACGTACCTGTCCTGTGGCACCCGGCCGCCCGCCAGCTGCACCACGGTGGGGAAGACGTCCATCAGGCTGGTGGGCTCGTGGACCACGCGGCCGGCGGGCAGCACCCCGGGCCAGCGGAAGATGCCGGGCACGCGGATGCCGCCCTCCCAGCCCCCCATGCCTTTGCCACCTGCGCGGGAGCAGATGCGGGAGCTCAGCACGGGGCGGAACCTCAGGAGGAGGTGACCGCTGGGGTCGGGCCGTGGCTTTGAGGGGTGCCCCCAGGGGTGCCCCCGTGTCCTGAACCCAGAACCCAGGATGGGGCCAGAGCAGGGTCTCCGCAGGGGGATTAATGAGGCTCAGGGGAGACCGTCCTGCCTCAGCCTCCCCCAACCAGTGCCAGCGTCCTCGTGAGAGACGGGGGGGGGAGGGGACACACACGGAGGAGGAGCTGGTGGACACGGAGGCTGAGACTGGACTGTGGGGCCCAAGCCCGGGGACACCGTAGTCCTGGGAGGGAGAGGCAGAGGCGGAAGGGTCTCCCTGCACACTGAGGAGGGAGCTGGAGACAACAGGTGATCGGATAAGCGGGACGGGGTATGGCCCTCTGTGGAATATTACTGAGCCCTGAAGAGGGATGGACTCTGACATGGCTGAGGCAGGAGGGCGGGCAGGACTCCGGCCCAGAGCGCGACGGGCCGCGATTCCTATCGCAGGGGAACAGCCGGGATGTGGGGTGCGGCCTGGCGAGGGTGCCCGGCCCGGGGGAGCCCGGCCTCACCTCTGTAGACGCCGTTCCAACCTCCGTACTGTCGGCCCTCAAGCTGCGACTCCAGGGAGCCCCCGTGGTCGGACGTGAAGTACACCAGGGTGCTGGCGCTCAGTCCCTCCTCCTCCAGGCGCCCCAGGACCTGACCTGCACGGAGCCCGCCCCGCTGAGCCGAGCCACGATCTCGGGGGAGGCCGAGGCGGGAGGGTCTCGCGGGGGACTCGGGTCCGCATGGCCCCACTGGGCTCAGGCCGGCGTTTCGGGGAAATGTATCTCGGGGGCGTCGCGGCCATCTGGGAGTCACTCACCTACCATCCAGTCCAGCTCCTCCACGTTGTCCCCGTACAGCCCGTGCTGGCTTCTGCCCACGAAGTCCCGGGTGGTGACCAGTGGGGTGTGCACGTGCAGGAAGGACACGAAGAGCAGGAACGGCCCGCGCCTGTTCCTGGGGAGACACGCGGGGCGCCCGGCTCTCAGCTGTGTGACCCGAATTCGCGTGTAAGTCTGAGTCAGTCACGGAGCAACTTGGCCCTGATGGTGTGGCTTAAAAATGTTCAGTTTACTATCAAGGCTGTGGGGTGGATCTACTTGTGGTATCAGCGAACTGGGCCGTCAGTGCTCGTCGAAGGTATTAAACTGACCCCAGAACTGTGCTCCTGCGTCTCTACCGCGACACCTCGGTCCGGGACGCTCACTTTTTCAGAAATGTCTCCGTCTCCGTCAGCAGGAGGGACGTGGTCCTCTCGAAGCGCATGGGCTGCTCGGTGATGTCGTGGTTCCTCATGAGGAAGCAGTCCGCGTAGACGATCAGGTCACCCAAGAAGTGGGCGATGGAGAAGACCGCGGCGGCCGAGATGGCGAGCAAGACGGCGGGCGTCCACGAGACGGGAAGCAGACGGGTGAGCTTCCCGGCGGCCAGGGTGAGAACCGCAAGGCTCAGGATCTGGCAGCAGAGGCGCAGCCTGTTCTGCAGGCCGACGCGCCGCTCGGACAGCGCCCACTGCTGGCAGTCCGCCATCATGCTGAAGGGCATTCCGTAGAAGTGGTCGAACCCGTGGCTGAGCGGGTGGTGGCAGTGGTCGCTGGAGGTCTCGCAGTTGAGCCCCAAGTGCCACTTTCCTGTTGGGGAGACGGGGGAAGGCGGGGATTGGATCCCGGTGACAACAACCATGTCCCTGTTGTCCGACTCTGTGACGACGGAGATCTAAAACGCGTCTTCATTCTTTTTCTGCCCTCTAATCCTCTCCTCCTGTATCTCCTCGACCCTGTTCTATGTGCAAAAGGTCTGACTCCCGTCTTCCCGTCATCCGGCTGTTATTTGCTCTATATTTATTCCTCAGTGTCCTTATGTGGACAGCGTGTGATCTCTGAGCCTGCACACTTGATGGATTTCACCTGTTCCTACCCCTGAGTCTAGCGGTCCCTTCTTCACCGCAGAGTATTACTCCACCGTGTGCAGACATATTTCCTACATTTATTCCTTGGTTGGTGGACAGACAGGCTGATTCCTAGCTTTTGCCCTTGAGTTGTGCTGCTGTAAACGCGGTGTGCACGGGTCACTGTGAGATGGTGTCCTACATTCTTTTGGGAAGACGCCTGGGGGGGAGGGCTGGATCACCTGGGAATTCTAGTTTTGGGAAGTTGGGGAACCTCCCCTCAGATTTCCTGTAACACTGAGTGCTGGCAGCAGGGTTGGGAAGGGAGCTGAGAGTGCTGTGCATGGTCGTTGAGTGTGCAAAGCCCTCAGCATTTCCCCCGTCCCGCAGGGCTGACTGAACTGGTTCCTGTCCTGCGGGGCGGTCAACAACCATCATGGTCCTGGCTGCTTACGCCCAGAGCATGGGTTCCTTCCCAGTCCCCGGCCGGCCTGGCTTCTTCCTGTTCTCAGATCTCCACCTTTAAAGGTCCTGCCACGTGGGACCCAAGCGGGTGACCCAAGAGGGTCCCCCAAATCAGTTCCCCCCTTCCATCGCCTTAGAAACCCTGGTCTAAGTGGCGCAGACGGCCCACCGTGTCTGCGGGCTTGGCGCTCACGAATGCAATCAACCACAGGCAGAAGATATTAGCAGCGCAGCCCGAGGTGGTGGTTGTTGCCTGGGATCCCAGCAACTTGGGAGGCTGAGGCAGGAGCGTCTCCAGGTGGAGCTGGCTGGGCCGGCTCCCTCAGAAGCCACCTCAGGGGAATCGTGTTTCGGGGAGAGGGCTGAGGACCCCGGTTCTGATGGATGAGGCGGCTTCCGCTGCCCCCCAACATGCCGAACTGTGTGGCATTTGCATTGCGTCAGACATCGTGCGTGTCCTAAAGGTGACGGGAGGCGTGCTTAGCCTGACGACTCTGGAGAAATGGCCTCAAAGCTCACAGCGTGCGTCCCGATCGCTGTGTGGATTTATGTTACTCTGCGGCCTGGACTCGGGAGATGGTCCTGCCTCAGCCTCCTGAGGAGCTGGGCCCGTGGGCACAGCGACCACAGCGACCTTTATTTTTGGAAATTGTAGCAAATCAGAGCATGAAGGAGAATCCCAAACCTCCCCAGCCCGGATGCCCTGGGCACCGAGGCCCCGGGGCACAGTGCCACCCTCCTACGTAAGCAGGTCTGGTTGTCGATCGCATCCCGGATGCACCGCGTTCCCCAGTGTTCCCGTCCAGCGCGTTCTCCGTGTGGAGATGATGCAGGCGAGCACTGTGTGCAGACGCGCGTACCTATGAGCCCCGTGGTGTAGCCGCTGTCCTTCAGGAGCTTTGCAAACGTGACCTCGCTGGCGGGGAGGCCCCCGGGGACCCCGGTCCACTGCAGGACGCGGTAGCCGTTGTAGGACACCATACCTGGGGGCCGGCAGAAAGCCAGGGAGCGGGCTGCTCTGACTGCAATTCGCGGTTGCACAACGTCAGCATGTCGGCCGAGCCCCGCTGCGCAGGGGGAAACCGAGGCCCGCTGCCCGCTCGGAGGCTTCAGGATTCCCAGTTATTCATATTACTATCGCCCGTTATTACTCCACTCAGGGCACCCGGAGCCAGGCTGTGTGCGCCCCCAGGGCTGGAAGGCCCCCGACTCCGGCCGCAGGGAAACCCCAGAAGGGGACCCCGCTTTCCCGAGGGCTGCAAATCCGGGGTGCGGGAAACCAGTCCCCAAGTGCTGAACAGGAAGAGCAGAGGCTCCCCGAGATCCCAGCCGGGGGTGACGGGCTGCGGGTGACGGGGCGCTGCACGCGGGGTCTGAGCGAACCAGGGGCGCCTCGCTCTGTCTGTCTGTCTCTGTCTCTGTCTCTCTGTCTCTGTCTCACTGTCTCTGTCTCTGTCTCTCTGTCTCTGTCTCTCTCTCTCTCTGTCTCTGTCTGTCTCACTGTCTTTCTGTCTCTGTCTCTCTCTGTCTCTGTCTCTCTCTGTCTCTGTGTCTCTGTCTCTGCCTCGTCTCTCCCCCTGGACTCTGAGCCATCGTCTCCCAGCAGCCTGAGGTCCAGGGGTGCAGAGGAGGGTGCAGGGCTCCCTCCCTTCCAGTGCCCGTGGGGAGGGGAGAGGTGTGATCTCAGGCCCTGCAGCTCCCCCTAATTACCCCACAGCGGGCAGCACCCCGGGATGCTCCTGCTCAGTCCCTGCACCAGGCCAGGGTTCCACCAAACCCTCAGAAGCCTTCAGTGACAGTCACCGGGCAGCTTCTCTGTGAGAGCTGTCAGAAAAAAGACTGCGCCAAGCGGAGAGCAGGGGTGCAGGCGTACAGGGGTGCAGGGGTGCAGGGTGCAGGGGTGCAGGGGTGCAGGGTTGCAGGGGTGCAGGGGTGCAGGAGGGGACCTGTGCGGCTCCCGCCCAGATGCGGATCTATCCTGCAGCGTAGGTAGCCCCGGCCGTGCCCCCGAGGCGGGGAGCTGCTCCTCCCTGTGCAGCCGGCTGGCTGGCCGTGTGTAACACGTCAGCGATAATGAAAATCGTCCTGCACAATCACCACCACCCTGCAGTGCAGGTTACTTGTGTCTTTTTCTTTATGGTGCGTATTTTCTGGATTATTTTGCATCGCATTGCACAAGTGCAATCATTTTTTGTGTGACTGTTTTTGGGTTGCGGAATGACTCCTCCGGCTCTCTCTTGTCACTGTGGGGAAATCCGCTTTGACCTGTGATTGCTTTGGGTTGCAAGCACGTTTCCAGAATAAATTTGCACAGCAAGGATTTACAGTGTGTGCTCTGGGGGATCTGGGGGAGGTGTAACACTGTAACCCAGAGAGTCAGTGTATAAAAACTTGTAACTATAACCTGGAGCACCGAGTTGTTACAATGCAACTTCCAGATAGCAGCAACTGTAACTATGTAAGCTGCGGTGTCCAGTTGTAGCCTGGACTGTCCAGTGGTAACAATATAACACAGTCCGGAGATAACAGCTTAAATTTTTGCATCGAGCTGTTACACTGTAACTTCTAATATCCAGCTGTAACCAGGAAACCTGCAGTACTGAATTGCAATCATGTAAGCTGTAGTTTTGAGCTGTACCAGTGTCACCCGTAGTGTCCAGCTGCAACACTGTTACCTGTAATATCCGGTTGTAGCTATGCAGCCTGGTACAATCAGTTGTAACAATGTGGCCAGTTGCAGCCAGTTGTTACCATGTAACCTGTTGTAGCTGCTTGCAACAATGTTCCCATTCTGACAATGCGACCTGTTCTAACAGTCTTTCCGGTTGTTACAATGTGACCTGTCGCATGGAGCTGTAACACTGTAAATTGCACGGTGTAAACAGCGCACATTTCTTAGTGGCCAAGACTGGACTCACCCGAGCGGATGGGGTATCTCCCCGTCAGGAAGGCGGCCCTGCTCGGGGTACACACGGACGCCGCGGCGATGTGGTGGGTCAGCTTCACCCCGTGTTCTGCAAGCCGGTCAATATTTGGAGTTCTGGGAAGGAAAAGTGATTTGTTCCTTAGTGTCTGGCACAGAGAAGCCCCATTGCTTGGAGCAGAATTAGCATGCTTCCCTTTGGACTATTTTTGTGCGGGTGGCCAGGTCTCCATTATCTGGGGCTCTGGCTGATGACTAGGAGTCTGGTCGTGGCCCGGGAGGCCCCTGCAGTCAATGTGGGTTCAGGCTGGTGCAGGACCTGCATTTCCAAGAGAAATAAGACTCTGGAAAATGTTCTTGTGAGGTAGTTGTGGAGAGATGGATTGGCCCATGAAAGAATGGCGTCTTTTTTAAATTTTGTTTTGTCATGCTGGAGACTTCACCCAAGAACTGTGCATTACAGTAGCATTATATTATTGGTGTGGAGTCTCCTCCTGAGTTGCTACACGATACAGCCTGGCCATGACCGGGGACCCTCCTGCCTCAGCCTCCTAGACCGCAGCGTCACCCCTGTGCCCGCGCTCCCGCTGGGCATATTACATTTGGGGATCGCGAGGTGCACACGTCAGGTTTGGTCTCCAGAGTCCTGGAGATGGAGCAGGTCGGGGTGCATCCCCGGGAGGGGCGGCAGGAGGGTTCCCCGGCCACCAGTGGGCTCCTGCCCTGCTGGATCGGTGGGCTCGTGGCTCCCGGGTGCATGGATTGTACGGGAGAGAAGCCTGCTCTGTCTGCTCTGCTCTCTGCTCCGAGGAAGCCGAGAGCTCTCGGGGAACCTGCAAAGCTCGGGGGTCACCGCCAACCTCAGTGATTTACAGGGCACCTGCCCGGGGTGCTCAGTTACAGTCTCAGGAGCTCGCCTGCGGGGTGCGGGGCATCACCGGCCGCCTCTGCGTCTCCCGGCTCTGTACGGGGCCCTCCCAGGCGAACCCCGACGTCCCCTGCTCGCCTTAGGGTGCCGTTGCCGTAGCAGCCCAGGTCTCCGATGCCCAGGTCGTCCGCCATCAGGAGCAGGAAGTTGGGCAGGGAGCTCGGGGCGTCGCTGGCAGACGTGGTCCTGACGGCCAGGCACAGCCCCAGCGCCACGGCCAGCCGGGCCCTGAAACACAAGGTGCACTGAATTGGGGAGCGGCCTGGGGGGGTTTGGAATGCAAAGGCCTCCTCACGCTTTGTTGTTTGGTCTTTGTGAGACGGGGTCTCGCTGTGCAGTCCGGCCGGCCTTGAGCTCACTGTGCAGCCCAGGCTGGTCTCGAGCTCGCAGAGATCCTCCCGCCTCAGCCTCCCCGGCGAGTGCTGGGGTGACAGGCGTGCACTCCCGCCCCGTCCCCTCTGTCTGGTTCACTTCTGTTTTCTCTGCACTGATTGAGCTGGGTGGAACACAAGCGTTGGAGGCTCCTTGTTAGTCTGCACAGCGTGGCGTGTGGGGAGCAGATGCAGGACCGAGCCTGCAGGGTTTTGCTGTCAGACGCATCAGCGGCCACCTCGTCATGGGGGTTGCTGGCTTCGCTGTCCCACTGCCCGCTGGTCGAGGCCCACCTGGCCCCCTCTCACCGTGGCCCGTGCATGCATTTGTGCAAACCAGGAGCCTCCCTTTGGACCTGGTAAAGTCGGGGTCCCTCTGGGGTCCCCCAAGCGACGGGCTGACCCTCCCAGGGCCGGATGGGGGACTCCTCATGCGTCTGCCTGCAGCACGGCCCACGTCAGCCAGCCTGGAGGCTTGCTGAGGGCCACAGAGCCCAGGCCAGGTTTGCAAGGTGCAGGCCCCCCCGGGGGGGCCCGAGGGGACCCCGGGACGGTCAGTGAGTCCAAGACTGCAGGGACAGAAAGACGGAAACGGAGGTGCACAGTGGGGCTCACCAGACAGGGTCGGGACGCGGGCTGGCCCCGGGCTCGGCCTCCGTCCTGTGGGCCATAGCGGGGTTCGGAGCCGCACGAGAAGCCAAAGTTCTGCAGGAGGAAGAGCCTGGATGTACGCAGGCAGCGGAGCTCTGTCTGTCTCTGTCTCTCTGTCTGTCTCCTGGTGCTGACACCTCGTGGCCGCCCCAACTCGGTGCTTGCACCCGACAGCCCAGACCCCTCGCTGCAACGTGAGCTCCCGTGCGGGGTCTGGCTGCGAAGCTTCCTGCACGGCTTATAAAACGTTCGTATGACTATACGCAGTCACCAACACTCGGGGTTTATTGTTTTGCTTTTTTGGGGTACCGGGTTTCGAACTCACAGCCTGGCGCTTGCCAGGCAGACGCTCATGCCGCTGAGCTAAACCCCGACCCTTCGTTTTGCTTTTGAGTCAGGGTCTCTCCACAGTGTTCAGGCTGCCCTGGAACACACCACGTGGCCTGGCTGGCGTCACACGCACGGTGACCGTCCTGCCTCAGCCTCCCGAGGGCCGCGATAACCGGCAACTGTCTGATATAACTGCACGCTCTGAAGTGCGTTTTGCAGCCACTTACAGGATCGCTGTACCAACCTTGTGCACACGGTACGATATGACAGGATATGACAGGAGCGGGACACGGCGCTCTACAGTAAACACAGCACACGAGTGTGTACGCAGCTTCTAAGTGTGCAGACGCGTCGTACACAGCTGTGGTGAGTGTGTAGGTGTGCGCAAATGTGTGCAAAGGTGTATAAATGTATTTAAATGCATATAAATGTATTTAAATGTGTATAAATGTATATAAACATGTATAAATGTATATGTCTATAAATGTTTATAAATGTGTATAAATGTATATAAATATATAAAAACATGTATAAGTGTGTATATATATAAATGTATTTAAGTGTATAAATGTGTATAAATCTATGTAAATGTGTATAAATGTATTTAAAAGTATATAAATGTGTATGGATGTGTGTAAACCTGTGTAAGTGTGTATAACACACACGAGCACTTGCAGGTCTGTGTGACACGTGCCGTCATGGGTGCTGTCCCTTGCGGGGTCCCCACCACCGCACCCTCCTCCTGAGGAACCTGCACCCCAGCTTTGCTGTCAGGCTTTTTAGCTCAGACCAGCACTGCTGCCGCATCAGCCCTCCCTGAGTTTGCAGGGCGCTCCCGGGGTGCTCCCGGCCCCCCAGTGCTGTGCTGCCGCCTGGGTGCTGGGTCCCGGCCAGCGGGTGCAGGGTGCAGGATGCAGGGGGACAGGGTGCAGGGTGCAGGGGGGCAGGGTGCAGGGGTGCAGGGTGCAGGGGGGCTGGGTGCAGGGGGACAGGGTGCAGGGTGCAGGGTGCAGGGGGGCTGGGTGCAGGGGTGCAGGGTGCGGGGTGCAGGTGCAGGGGTGCAGGGTGCGGGGTGCAGGGGTGCAGGGTGCGGGGTGCAGGGTGCAGGGTGCCGGGTGCGGGGTGCAGGGTGCAGGGTGTAGGGTGTAGGGGTGCAGGGGTGCAGGGGGGCAGGGTGTAGGGGGGCAGGGTGCAGGGTGCAGGGTGTAGGGTGTAGGGGTGCAGGGGTGCAGGGGGGCAGGGTGTAGGGGTGCAAGGGGGCAGGGTGCAGGGGGGCTGGGTGCAGGGGTGTAGGGTGCAGGGGGACAGGGTGTAGGGGTGCAGGGTGCGGGGTGCAGGGTGCAGGAGGGCAGGGTATAGGGGTGCAGGGGGGCAGGGGTGCAGGGTGCGGGGTGCAGGGTGCAGGGTGCGGGGTGCAGGGGTGCAGGGTGCAGGGTGTAGGGTGTAGGGGTGCAGGGGTGCAGGGTGTAGGGGTGCAGGGGTGCAGGGTGCAGGGTGCGGGGTGCAGGGGTGCAGGGTGCAGGGTGTAGGGTGTAGGGGTGCAGGGGTGCAGGGTGTAGGGGTGCAGGGGTGCAGGGTGCGGGGTGCAGGGGTGCAGGGGTGCAGGGTGCGGGGTGCAGGGTGCAGGAGGGCAGGGTATAGGGGTGCAGGGGGGCAGGGGTGCAGGGTGCGGGGTGCAGGGTGCAGGGTGCGGGGTGCAGGGGTGCAGGGTGCAGGGTGTAGGGTGTAGGGGTGCAGGGGTGCAGGGTGCAGGGTGCGGGGTGCAGGGTGCAGGGTGTAGGGGTGCAGGGTGCAGGGTGCGGGGTGCAGGGTGCAGGGTGCGGGGTGCAGGGGTGCAGGGTGCAGGGTGTAGGGTGTAGGGGTGCAGGGGTGCAGGGTGTAGGGGTGCAGGGGTGCAGGGTGCAGGGGTGCAGGGTGCGGGGTGCAGGGTGCAGGAGGGCAGGGTATAGGGGTGCAGGGGGGCAGGGGTGCAGGGTGCGGGGTGCAGGGTGCAGGGTGCGGGGTGCAGGGGTGCAGGGTGCAGGGTGTAGGGTGTAGGGGGGCAGGGGTGCAGGGTGTAGGGGTGCAGGGGTGCAGGGTGCAGGGTGCGGGGTGCAGGGGTGCAGGGTGCAGGGTGTAGGGGTGCAGGGTGCGGGGTGCAGGGTGCAGGGTGCGGGGTGCAGGGGTGCAGGGTGCAGGGTGTAGGGTGTAGGGGTGCAGGGGTGCAGGGTGTAGGGGTGCAGGGGTGCAGGGTGCAGGGGTGCAGGGTGCGGGGTGCAGGGGTGCAGGGGTGCAGGGTGCGGGGTGCAGGGGTGCAGGGTGCGGGGTGCAGGGGTGCAGGGTGCAGGGTGCGGGGTGCAGGGTGCAGGGTGCAGGGGGGCAGGGTGCGGGGTGCAGGGTGCGGGGTGCAGGGTGCAGGGTGCAGGGTGCGGGGTGCAGGGTGCAGGGGTGCAGGGTGCGGGGTGCAGGGGTGCAGGGTGCGGGGTGCAGGGTGCAGGGGTGCAGGGTGTGGGGTGCAGGGTGCAGGGTGTGGGGTGCAGGGTGCAGGGTGCAGGGGGGCAGGGTGCGGGGTGCAGGGTGCGGGGTGCAGGGTGCAGGGTGCAGGGTGCGGGGTGCAGGGTGCGGGGGGCAGGGT